ACGACTTGCTCTACCGCAGATATAGACCCAGTAAACTGAAGGAGAAGGACGATTGGGCCAACATCGAACAACTTGTGATTCCCACCAGCCTGCGGCCCACTATTCTACACCTGGCCCACGGAGCGCTCTCCCACTACGGCTTCAACAAGACTTACCATGGAATTCGTCAAGACTACTACTGGCCAGGTATGGTAAATAACGTCAAACAGTACGTAAAACAGTGTCATACATGTCAGATGGCAGGCAAACCGAACATCTCCATTCCCAGAGCGCCACTGATTCCCATACAGGTGCCTGCGGAACCTTTCCACAGACTCATAATAGACTGTGTTGGTCCTTTACCTCGGACCAGTTCAGGTAACGCCTACATCCTAACCATCCTGTGTCCTACCACCAGATTTCCCATAGCAGTTCCAGTGAAGAACATCACGGCTGCTACGGTTATAAAACATCTATTGAAGATCTTCACTCAATACGGATTTCCCAGGGAGATTCAGAGCGACTGTGGTACCAACTTCACCAGTGATCTCTTCAAAAGGACACTGGAGGAGTTCCACATCAAACAGGTATTGTCCAGCCCCTATCATCCTGCTTCACAGGGTTCTCTTGAACGTAGTCATCAGACTATCAAAGCACTCTTGAAAAAGTTTTGTAGTGAAACCTCGAAGGATTGGGATAAGCAGATTGACCTTATAATGTGTATTTACAGAAGTCTCCCCAATGAGTCCCTAGGAGTATCTCCTCATGAGATGCTCTACGGCTGTAAGTGCCGTACTCCCCTTAAGGCTTTCAAAGACTCTCTCAGAGATGCCACCTTCAGTGAGCATCAGAATGTGCCCCAGTTTCTTCAAAACCTTCAACACATTCTAGAGAGAGTCCACCGTTTTGCCCATGATAATCTATTGAAAGCCCAGGAGAGAATGAAGACTCATTACGACCAGACCAGCAAAGTAAGAAAATTCAAGCCGGGAGACTTCGTCCTTGCATACTTCCCTATCCCAGGTTCACCTTTACAAAACAGGTTTTCAGGACCCTACCGCGTCAAAGAGTGCAGGAATAACAACAACTACGTAATAGAGACTCCAGATAGGCGGCGGAAGGCCCAGCTGTGCCACGTCAACCTCCTGAAGCAATATACAGTAATGGTACTCCTCCCACTGTCCTGATTAACTGTTCTACCTTCACAGAACCCTACATCCACAGTGAGACCTTTCCAGCTTCTCCTCCCGAAAGCACTGACAAGGAGTCAGCGCTTTCTAATTCCGAAATCCTTAATGATCTTCCCAAATGCTTTCAGGATAATAATCGTGCTCCTTTGCCCTATTCTAATTCCACTCTCACCTCGTCAGATAAGCCCTTCATCCTCCATGTCGACGCCAGTGGTACCGACGTTGGTGGTGTCGCGATGCAGCAACGAGGGGAGGAGAATACACCTGTCAGCGACTACTGCTACAAGGAACTACGGAACAATTGGCAAGGAGCTACTCTTCATCATCCTGAAGCTCCAGCACTTCACTCCACACCTGAAAAGTGCTCGGTCCACCATCAACACGGACCACACCACCCTACACCTCCTGCAGCACGCCCACTTCTCATCTCAACGTCTTCTACTATGGGCTTGCTAACTGCAGAAATTCAACCTGGAGACACGCTATACCAAGATTCCGACAATATCTTAGCCAATGATCTCTCCAGAGTTTATGAAGTAGAAGCGACTCCATCCATTACTCCACCACATAACGACGTACTTCTTCCAGAACCGCAGGCTTCGGGGGAGAGTTGTGACGATAATCTCCTTCAAGAGATTGAGCCTGCTCTTCCCTCCAAAAATACGTCGCAACAAATATATAAAACTACTATGGAAGAAATGTCCAACAACGACAACAACACCAGCAAGGTTTGCCAGAGCGCAAACGTATGCAGCCAGGGACACCTGCTCAGACTCAAACCGCCAAACTACCTGTCTTACTGCCGGCTCCTCGCTGATTGGTCGCCGGTCTGGCTGCAACTGCACTCACCCCCCCCATACTACTTGATGTCTGGGGCCGCCACGACCTCAGTCCTCAGAATATTCCGTGCTTTCACAGTTAACACTCCTCCCTGCTAGACGTAAGCTTTGGCGTACGTGTACTGAGAGAGGTGATAGCTTAAAGCCAATATTCCAGCACCTCTCATTTTTGTATATTGCACTTCTTGTTATTTTGCTCACTTGTCTTAACGTAACTTTTCATTGTGTCATTTAATTATTCTTATTATTTTGATTGATTGATTTTATTATACGAATTTGTTTGTCCATTTTATTCATGTTTTGTTTATTTAACGTAATTAAAATTTCATTGTTAAAGTTTACTTGTGTTTTGTGTGTCTTCTCCTTACCTTACCACAGACGAAGTTCCAGATTTTCTATTTTTTTAATACTATGTGACGAGGCCATACCCCTAGCTTTGAACAGCCGAACACCAACGCGTTACCGTCACAAGTGCCTCGCAGATGTCAAGCCGCCTGCTATCGCTGTATGTATCGATTTCTGTGTTGTTTGTTAAGACTTCTCTGGTGATGGTCTAGTTGTGGGAAGAAATTATATGTTCCTTGATGGAGCCCTGTTGCTTATGCATTGTTAATCACCTGGAAAGAGATGATGTTGTCTTGCCTATATACTGAGTTCTTTGGGGCTTACAGTCCCCAAGTGGGCATTTGAAGGCATAGACGACGTTGGTCTCCTTTAAGGCATTCTGCTTTGTGTCTAGAGAGTTTTTCCATGAGTAGGTTGGCCGTTTTTTTGGTGTTATAGTAAATCGTCAATTGTATCTTCTAATTTTTGTCTGTAGGGATAACGTTCCTATTAACAATATCTTTCGGGACCCTTTCCTCTGTTTTATGAGCTGTGGAAAAGAAGTTCCTGTAAAATAGTCTAATATGGGGTACAGGTGTTGTGTTAGTTGACTGTTCAACTAACAAGTTGACTAATGTGCTTTGACCATTACCACTCCTGTGAGCCATTCCCTTTTGCCACCTTACTTTTCCTGAAGTACAAATACAGTTTGGAATTTTTTGTTAGCATATTTGGATTTTTTTTTTGGCAGATCTGGAACTTTTTTGTTGGCAGATTTGAAATTTTTTGCTAGTGGTTTCGGAATTATTTTTTGGATTTGGATTTTTTGTTGGTGAATTTGATTTTTTTTTATTGGTAGTTTGGGAATTTTTATATTGACGAATTTGACATTTTTATATTAGCGGATTTGGATTTTTTGTCGGTAGATTTTGGCCCCCCTTTGCAGAGAAGCAAAGAGTAGGTGACACTGTCACCCCACTAGGATAGCATCCCGAAAATCAGTGAACCAAAACAGACCACTACTTAATTCAAGGATACTGAAGCTTTGAAATTACCAAACTCACTCTCCAAACAATGTAAACATATGTTCAAATCTCTCAAAACCATCATGTGTGGCTTTGTAACTACTGGAGACTAGACAGGAAGCCTCTTAGGTTTATCAAGGTCCCCTAAGTCAACTACAGGTACTGATATTCCCCAAGATGTAATCCATAACATTTGTCCAATTCCCTTGGGTACATATTTACTCTTAGGTGAACAATAAGCATCGGATAGAAGGAAACATGGCCTAAATGCTTCTCCTGCCATAGGAACCAAACCCAGGACCTTTCAGCTGTGACCTGATTGCACTGACTACTGTCCATACAACAAAATACATGTGCATTATTACATACTGTATAAGATAGGAATTAACACTTTCGCGCTATCTGAACGCGCCGGCGCGTCCGGTTTCGTCTAACGTAAACGCATAGTGGACATAAAGTTATGTCAACTTTTAAAATATTTGTATAAAATTAAATTTTTATCCGATTTACTTTGGGTTTGTTTTAAACTGCGCGCTATGAGGCTCTCTTTCTCACCACTAGGCTGCATGGTACAATAAGTTCATGAAAGGTGTGGATAACTTCGATCAAATGGTATTTTGTCCCAAACGGGTTGCAGGTGGGTGACTTTAGCCGTTTATACTAGTAATGCTTCCCCCATATCATATATTATATGCATATGTCTGTTTAGGGAATTTTATTCCGATCAATATACAACCAAAAATAACTGTGTGCAACAAGTATAAACTTGACAAACATAACAAAAGTAAAAACATTTCGTGTGTGTTTGACGCTCACTGATATGTTCCAGCGTTGTTTTATATTTGGCGCTATTCTAACTTACGCTTTGTTGATATTTTTTACCTATGGGCACATAGAACATTCTATTGCGAACACATTGACACAAAAATGAATGACGTACATAGAAAATTAATGTCATGAGAGTGAAATAAGTATAAACTTTCAAAGCGCCGTGCGTCGTCCCGTCACCGATACCGGGTAACAATTTCACCACTTCCCACACTCTTGCGGGCGGGCCGCAATCATTATTCTACGCTTATATTCATATCACCGTGTTGGGAATTTTATTGCGAGTCCATTGATACCAAAATTAACGCTGTAGAACAAGTGTGGAGGTGATTACAATCCCAAGAGTAAAAACATTTTGTTGCTGATGGGCGCTCATGGCGAGTCATCTTCGTAGTTATTTATTTGGTGCTGGTATCCCTATACGTTTCGTGACTTATTTTACTGATGTTCTTCTAGAGAAATTTATTGCGAACACGTTGGTACCAAAATGAAATACGTAGCATGAGAACTAAGGTCAGAAGAGTAAAAAGAGTATACACATTTTTGTTTTTACGCTTAAGCGATAAAAACGCAGCGCGCACATTCGGTTGGCTGAGTGACCTTTGCGGAGAGCGCGAAAGTGTTAAGGAACTGCCGGAGGCCTATTGACCCATATAAGGCAGCTAATATTTATAGCTATTGAAACTCAATCATATTCATGTCTAACCTATGCTTAAAACAATCACGTGATAAGACAACTTACTCACACATCTGAAAATAAAGGGAGTGATGATGTTTCCTGGCCAAAGGTGTTCTTGTATTTTCCTTAACCTTACCTATACTAGCACTGCTTGAGCTAAGATGGGGCGAAGTGCCAAGTGAAGAAGGAGACGCTCCTGCCATTGCTACTGGAAGGGAGCTCTCAGCTTTCTGGTATATGGTATTTGACAAATCTGCAGGAACATAATACAAATGAGTAACATGTGATAATCTTCAGAGAATGTGTAATTACCTAAGTGTAGTTACAGGATGAGAGCTACACTCGTGGTGTCCTGACTCCCCAGCACTCTTTGTCATATAACGCTTTGAAATTACTGATGGTTTTGGCCTCCACCACCTTCTCACCTAACTTGTTCCAACCGTCTACCACTCTGTTTACAAAAGTTAATTTTCTTATGTTTCTCCAGCAGCTTTGTTTCTTTAGTTTAAATCTATGACCTCTTGTTCTTGAAGTTCCTGGTTTCAGGAATTCTTTCCTATCAATTTTATAGATTCTTGTTACTATTTTGTACGTAGTGATCATATCGCCTCTTTTTCTTTTATCTTTTAGTTTTGCATATTTAATGTCTCTAACCTCTCCTCGTAGCTCTTGTCTTTCAGTTCTGGGAGTTATTTTTTAATTTTTTTGAGATATATACAAGAGTTGTTACATTTTTGTACAGCCACTAGTACGTGTAGCGTTTCGAGCAGGTCCCTGGAATTCGACCCCCATGAAGAATTGTTTTTACAACCAAGTACCGATTTTACTGTTGAGTTAAACAGAGGCTACAGTTAAGGATTTGCGCCCAGTAAATCCTCCCCGGCCAGGATACGAACCCATGACAAAACACTTGCGGAACGCAAGGTGAGTGTCTTACCACTACATCATGGAGACTGGGACATAATATGGCATGCAAACTTAGTGGCATGTCTTTGCACTTTTTCCAGTTTGTTGATGTGCTTCTGCATATTCCAGCTTTGGTCTAACAAAGGTCGTGAACAATTTCTTTAGTATTTCTCCATCCATGTATTTAAAAGCAATTCTGAAGTTAGAAAGTGTAGCATAGGCTCCTCGCACAATGCCCTTAATGTGGTGACAGTTTTCTATCTAGAACCACCCCTAGATCCCTTTCTCTGTCATCTTAGCATCATCAGCATACATGTTCATATAATTCTGTATTCCCTCTGGTAGATAGTTTAGGTAGACAATGAACATTACCGGTGAAAGAACTGAACCCTGTGGTTCTTCACTTCTGACATTCCTCCAATCCGATACATTGCCTCTGAATACGGAATGGCTTGGAGTTCTTGTGTTCTTCCACCAACTCCTCCACATCAGCACCATCCAACTCCAAACCCAATTGCTGACCCAGAGAAACAATTTCCTCAACAAGAGGCACTTCAGGTTCAGGCTCAAACCCCTCAAGTCTCCTTCTGCAACACATTCAGGCCACAGTTTTCTCCAGCCAGAGATCATGGTTCTTACAGTCACTTCTTGCCAGGCTTTATCAACAAGTTTTAAAGCACTATAAATGTTAAAATGGTTTTTCCAGAACTCTTTGAGGGTGAGGTTTGTGGCATCCGTCACTTCGACACATCTCCGTAAAAGTGCCCTTTCATAAAGTTTCTTAAAATTGGCAATGATTTTCTGGTCCATAGGCTGAAGTAGAGGAGTGGTGTTGGGAGGAAGAACTTTATTGTAACAAACCTAAATTCCTCATCCAATGAATCGTCCATTGGAAGCAGGGCCTTGAGTGGCAAACTGTTCTCCTGCAAATATTTTTTGATGGCAGGGCACACCACCAAATTCACCAACTCTGTAACAAAATTGCCTTGTCACCCATGCCTTAGCATTAGCCTTCCACATCACACACATTTTGTGTTTCTGCACATTATATTTTTTGAAAACCCTTGGATTTTCGGAATGATACACATGCAAGGGTTTAATTTTCAAATTGCCACTCACATTACCACACATCACAAGAGTAAACCAATTTCAAAGGCTTGTGTCCCGGCAATGACTTCTTGGTAATGTATGTTTTCTTTGGCAATCTTTCCCAGAATAGCCCTGTCTCGCCACAATTAAACACTTGTTGTGGTAGGTATGCCTCACTCTACACAAAATCTTTAAATTCGCCAATAAATCTTTCAGCCGCTGGTTTGTCTGAGCTGGCAGCCTCCCCATGCCTCACAACACTATGAATTCCACTTCTTTTTCTAAATTTCTCAAACCATCCCCTGCTCGCCTTAAACTCTCTCACTTCTGCATCACTCATTCCAGAAGTTTTCTTTAAAAGGTCTTCATGCAATTTTCTTGCCTTTTCACAAATGATGGCCTCCGAAACGCTATCACCCACTAACTCGTTGTTGTGTATCCAAATTAATAATAACTGTTCAACATCCTCAAGTGTTTGTGTTTCGTGATTATTGATACGCCTTTTGCCACTTTAGCACTCATAATGTCCTTTTTCTTAGCCAGTATGGTGGATATTGTTGACTGAGATTTGTTGTACTGCCTAGCCAGTTCACCTACCCGCACACCATCTTCATATTTACGAATGATCTCTTGTTTCTGCTCTATGGTCATTCTTACATGGGATCTCATATGTTGAGCCTTACCACTGACTTTCCTGGGACTCATGGCATGATATATAATAATTACTTTAATGTTCAAAATGTCAAAAATTACCACAAAAGCGGAATTTCTTATAGGCGCGATCGTCACTAAGCGGGCAGCTGTAGTAAACTGAGGCAGGTCGGCCGTGTGACCGGGAACCACGTGCTCAGTCAACCCGAACGTGTACCAACAAATATCAGAAGTTGATGACACCTTCAGATATCGAGTCGCATTTTTCGATGAAATTTACATCGTAACTCAAAATTATCGTAAGTATGGGCAATCTTATGTCGAGGTGCCACTGTACTAGATCTAGTACTGACGGAACATCCCCTTTCCTCATTCTTGTGGCCTGTTTGACGTGTTGATACATGAATGTCTCCAGGATGGGGTTTACAAATCTGCCTGTCTAAGTGCCCTCTGTTCTTGCCTAGTAGGCCTCCCAGTCTATTGCCTTAAAGTTAAAGTCCCTCAGTACCAACAATCGGGATTTATCTTCGTCAGCTCTTACCATAATCTCTTTCTTGACCTTATGAGGCCCCCTCGTTTGTCATCCAGTTCTTCCTTTGTCCATATGTTGCTTGTTGGTGGGCTGTAGGCATTTAAAATTATCATCTTGACTCAAGAGCTGCAATGCTATTATGTCAATATCTCGAGGGTTTTCAAATATTAACTCTCTTACCTTCAGGTGTTCTTTCACCAGCACAGCCACTCTTTCCCCCCTTCCTAGTTTTCCTGTCACGTCTCCAAAAAGTAGCCCCTTGGGAATACGACCTACTTAAAATATTTTTGTCAAGTTTTGTTTCTGTTAATGCGGCAATATCTAGGACTTTGAGCTGAATTATATCCTTCAACGCCAATATTTTCGTTCTCACTCCATCTAGGAGCGAGATTAATAATAGGAGCCGGCGGCTGAGCGGACAGAACACTGGACGTGTGATCCTGTGATCCCGGGTTCGATCCCAGGCGCCGGCGAGAAACAAAGGGCAGAGTTTCTTTCACCCTGATGTCCCTGTTAGCTAGCAGTAAATAGGTACCTGGGAGTTAGTCAGTTGTCACGGGCTGCTTCGTGGGGGGTGGAGGCCTGGTCGAGGATCGGGCAGCGGGACACTAAAGCCCCGAAATCATCTCGAGATAACCACAAGATCTATGTTAGTATACTTTTTATTTATTTTTTTTTTTTGAGATATATACAAGAGTTGTTACATTCTTGTACAGCCACTAGTATGTGTAGCGTTTCGGGCAGATCCCTGGAATACGATCCCCGCCATGAAGAATCGTTTTTACAACCAAGTACTCATTTTACTGTTGAGTTAAACAGAGGTTACAGTTAAGGATTTGCGCCCAGTAAATCCTCCCCGGCCAGGATACGAACCCATGACAAAGCGTTCGTGGAACACCAGGCGAGTGTCTTACCACTACACCACGGAGACTGGTATAGAAATACAATTTTCAGGAATATGTTCCCCTTCCCTTTGTTCTTTACACCCCCTTCCTTTAATGATTTTGTTGCTTTGACTTTATGTACCATTTCACAAGCTTTCCAGTCCCTGATACTTTGTAGAAAAAATTCTTTTCTTCATTTCTATCCCAATTTAGACATTTCGCTTCAATGAGGCTCATTTTCAGCTTTTCTGTCCTCTTTTTGAGAGGTCTCGTCTTATTGACCAAAGTTTGCCATCCTCATCACATTGCAATTTTCTGGTATTCCAAAGCACTTCTCCATTACTTCACGCCATTAGCCCTTAAACTGCGCAACGCGCCTGCAGGCTCACGTCTGGTTTGCGCAACGCGCCTCCGGGTATTTGTATTTTTCACGTTCCATTCAAAACTCCCGCGGCTACATGGGGTTCACATCAGCTTCCTCAGGGCTCTTGTAAACAGACGCCATCTTTAAAAAAAATCGTGGTCCACATTCCCGGGTGTGGGAGCCTCAGTAGTGTGTGAGCAACCAAGGCTGGCGCTCGCAGCATGAGCGCACAGCACTGCTGTTCAGCATGTGACCACAGCATCGCCTAATAATGTCAAAATATATATATAAATTGTATTATTTAGTGTTATATTAGAGCCTGAGTGTGATAATGACTGGGTACAATGTTCAAATATCAGTGATTCAATGCTGTTCACGATGTTCACAGCGCTAGCCACAGCACCAGAGCATTATTTCGTTCATCTAGGAATCTTCAAATGATTTCTTAGGTTCTTTTTCAAAATAAACGTGTGGTCAATTATTCATTTACAGGAATTAGTGACCAGGATTGTGATAATAGCAGGAATGTGGTTATAATTAGCGTTGTGCGTAGTATTGTGGAAGGAGGAATTTTGATGAGGGAGGGAGGGCGAGAATTGAGGTAGCCTCAATTGTGTGTGTGTGGCTGCCACTAAGAACATAAGAACATAAGAACAAAGGTAACTGCAGAAGGCCTATTGGCCCATACGAGGCAGCTCCTATTCTATAACCACCCAATCCCACTCATATACTTGTCCAACCCGTGCTTGAAACAATCGAGGGACCCCACCTCCACAATGTTACGCGGCAATTGGTTCCACAAATCAACAACCCTGTTACTGAACCAG